TTAAGTACATTAATTTAATATAATACATTTTGGTGCATATATTTCAGTACATACATTTCAGTACTAACATTTAAATACATTAGTTCAATATAATACATTTTGATACATACATTTATGTACATTAATTGAGTCTTTCAAGTTTGAAGAATGTTAAATAAAATTAATAAATTAAAAAAAAAAAAACTTTTTTTGGTCAAAAAAAAAAAATTAAAATTTGTATATTAATAAATTTAAATATTTAATGGGAGACATTAAATAAGATGCACATTAATTATTTTGAATTAAGGACAAATCAAAGAACCATAATCAATATGTAATCTAATACCAAGTTTATTTTAAATTTCAATCTTCTTGAAGGATTAAAGTTAAAAACCCCAAAATTTCTCACTTTGGTATGGCAAGGATTTTCACGCATCACGAATAGGATTGTTGGGACATAATAAGTTATAAATAAGAAGTGCATTATTATCACATCATTCACTTTTGGTTACTAATCATGCATTTATGTATGTATAAGCTAAATCGTGCCTTTAGCGGTTACTTGTCTTCTGAGTATGGTCGTGGGGGGAAACTTTTCTACAAGATCTGACGTTGAGATTATACTGGAAGGACAAATAATAGCTTCTACAATGCCGATGGCGAGCTCAATATATATAGAGTAGGATATGTATGTCAGATAAAATCTTTCTATGATTAAAATGTTTCCTCTTTGAATTGAGACTTAGAGAATCTGATATCCTAAATGAATATGAGCTTATTTCAGGCTTGGGGGTTATGGAAAGAAGGTGCAAGGCTTAGAATAATGGATCCAACATTAGAAGGTTCATGTATTGAAGAGCAATTGTTAAGATGCATCCATGTTGATCTGCTACGCGTGGAAGAAAAATGCAACTGACGGCCAACCATGTCCGAAGTCATGATATCTTTGTTGACAAATGAAAACGTGTCATTGGCCTTTCCTAAAAGGCTAGCATTTTTAACTAGTAAAGCGGTGATGCTTGTATTAGAGGAAAGGAAATAGAAATTGTATCACCAAATGGCTTGTCCTTTTCCAGTTTTGAAGCACGATGAAAGTACTTAATTAGTTAGATACGGTCGGGTGGCTCAACCTCAATTAAACTTATTTGGAAGATTGTCATTTCTGATCAACTAGTTAAGAAATATCACTTGAGCTTGGACTTGGTAGTTTCCTGCTGAAGATGGATCGACCTGTCGTGGCAAAGGCGCTATGACTATAATTAGCTAATGGCCTCTGTGAGCTCTGCTCCTGAAGAAAAGATATTCAGTTAGTAACACATCTTCTGTAGATTATATTTTTGTAATGTGCCAGCTTTCTTCCTTACCCTAATTTATCAATCTGTTGCAATACTGAGTAATGCATTAATTAATGAAAAGTAATGTAATATGCTCATTTATCAATGTATCATACGAAAGTTCAGCAAGTTTTCGTTATAACTATTAATAAAAAAAATTCTCATATGCTTATAGATTTTTTTTTTTGTCATTCTGCAGGTTAGATTTTTATGGTTTCTTATTGTTTCTGCAGAGAGGACGTTCATTCTGAACTTCTATATGTATATGGTAACAAATCAAATGACGAGAAAAGAAAGAAACAAAATGTGATATTTTTCAATGATTCGAACCGTCAATATTTTTAGTACATTATCCATAGGTCATTCTTCTAAAAAATTAGACAAATTCAAAATCATTAAGATATTCATTTGTTGTTAAGAAAATTGACAAATACTGTTCCACAAAGAAACACTAAATTTAATCCAACAATCATCAGTTGGATCCTTGAGATTGTTAGATCTCACATCGCCCAGGGGTGATGATCATCTATGCCTTATTTGTATATGCTCACCCCTTTAGCACGAGGCATTTTAGGAGCCCATTGGCTTTGGAGTTCATTAGAACTCCGAAGTTAAGCGAGTTCGCGCAAGAGCAATCCTAGGATGGGTGACCCACTGGAAAGTTCTTATATGAGTTCCTAGAAAAAAAAATCGTGAGGGCGTGGTCGGGGCCCAAAGCGAACAATATCAGGTTATGACGGAGGCGGGGCCGAGATGTGACAATTTGGTATCAGAGGCAATTCATGACAGGAAGTGTGCTGACGAGGACGTCGGGCCCTTAAGGGGGTGGATTGTTAGATCTCACATTGCCCAGGGGTGAGGAACCTCTATGCCTTATATGTACATACTCACCTCCTTTAGCACGAGGCCTTTTGGGAGCTCACTGGCTTCGGAGTTAAGCGAGTTCGCGTGAGAGCAAGCCCAAGATGGGTGACCCACTGGGAAGTTCTCTTGTGAGTTCCCAGAAACAAAACCGTGAGGGCATGGTTGGGGCCCAAAGCGAACAATATCGTACTACGACGGAGTCGAGCTCAGAGTGTGGTGGAGCCCAGTAGGTATGTGACAAAGATCATCATAGAGGGCCCCATAAAAATGTGTGTAGATTTGTGTTAAAATCGTGTAGCCCCGAATCCTAACATGTATATATATGAGGTGAAGTTTAGTCTTCACCCCTTATTTTCATGTCTTTCTTTAATTTTTTGGATATTTCTATGAAAATATCGACCGTATTGAAGAAATTGTAAACATTGTGACTAACAATATATATGAACGGTATTCACCATTTCATTGTATGAGATGGTGCCTATAAGGGGTTGTATGGAGTTAGATGAATTTTTATAGTTATGAATACATAATGGAATTTACCTTTCATACAATTTATATGAGTTATGATTGCATTTTACATTAATTTAATGGAGCTTTTGGAGTTTCGGATGAATATGATAACTGTTGGATATAAGTCAACAATCTGTGATTTAAATATATATGTTAATAAATAATAAATGCAAATATAAAAATTAACAGAGTATCAATAAACAAAAATATAAAACAAACAACTTGAAGATCGAGGCTTGCGTACCGCAATGTCCTTGAAACAAAAATTTCGTCCCTATTCAGTGCTTGTAGTTCTACGAACGTCTGCTTCACCAGGATTCAAAGATCTAAGTTAGAATTCCAGCACCGGAAAACTTAACTTCTGGCGAATTTCCTTGTGGTACTCTTAGTAAGAATGCTATGGATTATAGAAGGAGATTTTTGTTTTTCTCAGTGTTCTAAATGCCATGCAGACGGATGTATATATAGAGGGATTAAGCCTGTTCACAACAGGTATGGAGAAGAGATGCATTTGTTGGAAAGCATCTTCTCTGAAGGGGTGCATTGCTCTGAGTTCTTTCTGAACTCTCAGACTTCATCTGAAAGGATGAGTCTTTTCATAAAAATTAAGTTAATTAAATTCAAATTAATTAAACAATTTAATATATATTAAATATATATTAATTATATATATATTAAATATAATTAATTATATATTAATTACTAATTAATTAGTGCACCCCAAAAGTGCACCCCAAAGCCTAACCTCAAGGGTGAGCCCAATTTTATTCTCCAAGGCCTATTACTCCAATTACTTTCTATAAAGGACAAAGCCTTATTAAGTGATGAAAGCTTTTGAGAATGGTCAATGTGGAACAATGAAATTTCTACTCAAACTCAAATTTCCAACAATAATTGCCTACCATGAAATACGTGCTCTTTGTGGTGTTCTCTCATTGGACATTGTTTTTATGGAGATATTTTTTCAAGTATTGAGTATCCAAGTAGTAGTTTACGTGTCATAATATATTTGAAAAAAAATTTCTCTTTTGTTGAGATCGGTGATATCATTTGCTATCACACATAATATATATATATTTATTTATTTACAACTAATATTAATGGCTATTGTCAAGTAGCTCTCTTATATATTACAATATTATCACAATTAATCTTCCAATCTTTCATAATCATAAAAACTATTGAGGTAACAAGCAATTGGTTCTATCTCAAGCTGGTGAGTTTGCTTGACTGTGACCACGGGCATGATAAAATTCCTCGTATATGGCCTCTCCGAGCAAAAAAGGGATGGATATATAACCGTGACTTGTCACTGATTGTCCCCCTTTTGAAGAATGGAACAAACAATTGGTCCAATCATATTTCTTTTCCACAATGTCTGAAAGGGAGGTTAAATGATCTTTACACTCATTTTTTCTTCCCGGCACTCCCTAGCCTGTTTTTGCTCATTGATTAATTCTGCTTTGATTTTCTCAATATTATACAAGTTGGAGGTAAAGGTGCATTAGAAGAAAGCAGCAGTGTGAAATTCATTTTCTTGCATGAAATAGGTCTCAATTATTGTGTGTTCTAATTCCATCACTTTTGGGTATATTCTTTGATAATTGTTGTCGGTATTTCAAATTTTAATTGTGCATCCCAACTTTCCTGTATTTAGAAAGAAATTACTGGAGGAGTTGGAGTAACAATAATAATTCATTATTCTTTTTACCAATGAATAAAATTGTTTATTACATGTCACTTAGTACTACGGTATAGTAATATTGTAAGTAAGAGGTTTTAGGTTTGATTTTCGCCAAATGAAAATTTAAACAACATTGGGCTCGTTTGGATATGTTTTTAAAATAACTGAAAACACTTTTGGTGAAAATATTTTTGGAACCAATTCTTAGTAAAAATGCAAATAAATCCTCAAAAAGCACTTAAAGTGCTTCCTGGAAGAAGTAGATAACTGGTGTTTCTTGTATAAAACACTTAAAGTGCTTTTGGAATCCAAAAACATTTTCTCTACAAGCGCTTTCAACCATTTTAAAAGCACATCCAAACGAAACCATTATTGCTAGTCCATTGTAAGACTTAGTGTAGATAATATATTTTGCTCAAAAAAAATGTTTATTACGTTCCCAAAATAATTTGTGAATCTGTGACACATCAGATATTTGATGCTAAATTATTGGGATTTTCATTGGTCATTGGTCTTTTTGCGGTTTCAAATATGCGGCACCAGATTTTGAGAGAGTCGTTTAACAAAAACAAAAGTAAATAAAAATAAATAAAAAAAAAAACTAAATTCATAAAACTAGCCAAGTCTTGTATATATAAGTAGTAGAGATTCATAGGTATTGTTATTGATAAATTTTGAGGTTGTCAGGCAGAAATGAAGGTGATAGCTGCATACTTGTTGGCTGTTTTGGGGGGCAAGAACACCCCTTCTGCCAATGATCTGAAGGACATCCTTGCCTCCGGTAATCTTTGCTTTTCCCTATCTATAATTTGTTTATAAACCCATTTGTTGTATTATTTATGCGGGCTTTGAGTCTCAGAAATTGGCTAAAATGATCTGAAATCAAACCTTAATTGTTAAATTAATTAAAAATCGACATCCTAATGGTAAAAAGATCAATCAAATATTGATGACATAGCTATCATATATCAACGATACTGATCATTTACAAAAAGTTGATATTTGAGAAATAATCATTTCAACAGTTCAATATTTGATAGTAAATGTCGTCGATACAAAAACTGATTGTCATCTCGGTAATTGGGAATGACAAGTAATAGGGTCACATGGATATATGCTATTTTTCGGTGTTGAACATTAATGTTTGAAAATGACAAGGAGTTGGTTCTCAGGGATATGTTTTTGTGGGGCTTGAATCGTTAAGATATTGGCTCCCTTTTCCCTAATATTATGCGAATTTGGGTTGTTCGACTCTAAAATTTACATTATTTCCAACATTCGATTTCATAGGTCTGTCTGTGAAGGATCGTTTTTATTATTGAAATTTTTTTGACCTTGTTCACAGTTGGAGCCGAGGCCGATGATGACAGGATTCAACTTCTGTTTTCTGAAATCGAGGGTAAGGACATCACAAAGCTAATTGCGTCTGGGCGGGAAAAGTTGGCCTCCGTACCGGCTGGTGGTGGTGCTGCTGTTGCAGTGGCTGCCACTGCTGTTGGTGGTGGTGGTGGTGGTGCCGCTGCTCCTGCTGCAGCTGAGGCCAAGAAAGAGGCAAAGGTCGAGGAGAAAGAGGAATCCGATGAGGTAAGTTATTTGGATCATCACATTAAGATCAGTATGTGTGCATGTTGAGGCCATATACTGAGATTGCAAAACCAAACACACTAACAGACATCAGACATTTTTGCATCCTTTGATTATCGTCTCTTATACTTCCCCTTTTTCTGTGTTGCAGGACATGGGCTTGAGTCTCTTCGATTAGAGTGGTCGGAGAGCTTACATCCCGGGAAAACTGTTTTTCTTATTCTAGTTAAGTAGTGATTTTCCCTGAATGTATAGCTGGTAGAAGATTTGATCGATGACAATCTAATAATTAAGTGGTTGGTTATGGAATCGTGGAGGATTTGAATCTTTTCTATCAAAGTTTTTATGAATCTTTTATCGTAACGGAAACTGATTTTTGGTGCCTGAAATATTTCCAAGTTTTTACCTGGATGACATGGAAACTGATTGCTCTTGTAATTGATGATTTATGGGCATTAATCTTGATTTATAGTTACCAGTAGATGGCCCTTTTCCAGCGTAGCCTTCGACTAATTAGAGTTCTTCTATTTAAACACCACATTTCATCTAAGTTCACCTCAGTACTTAATGCGGTCTCGCTGTTTGCTATGGCTTTATGTGAGAATTCCGGTGAGTATGTTGCGTCCATCGTCTTTGTGACAATTCTGCTTCCGGACTTCTACTTCGATTGGTGCGGTATGTGGTAGCCGTATTAGGGTTTAAAATTATTTGTGCTTTGTGCAAATTATCTCCAGGTCAAGGAATTGGTCACTGAAGAATATGTGGCACCTCTTGTAATTAGTCGTTCTTGGTAATGAAACACTATTGCTTCAGTTTTTTTTTTTTTTTTTTTTTTTTTTTTTTTTTTTTTTTTTTTTTTTTTTTTTTTTTTTAACAAAACAACAGCCAAAACACATGAAATATACAAAAGTAGAATTCACCATGTACTTCTACCATCAAACGAATTGTAGCCTTTATATTTTTATTGAATTATTACTCATTAACATATTAATATGGCTAAAGCTAGTTGTTTGTTGCTCAATGCAAGACAAGGGCAGTTAACAATGCAGATACAAACAAGCAGAACATAGAGATTGACACACTTCCATTGCCGCTGCTTTATTCTCTTTGTTGGAAATATCCGACGATATGGATGCTATTTCTCCTACAACAAATCACATAAGATAAATATCAGTAATATGATAATTTTCATTACCACAATTAATTAAATAAAATAAACAAAATAAGATAAAATACTTATCTTTGGTAGGTAGAGAACGCTCTTTGTCGATCCTTGATTAGGACAAGATTTTAGGTTGAGGTGTGTAAGTTCACTGTCCTTAAGAGTAGATTTCGCCCCTCAAAGACAATATCTCGGTGTAGCAGGTTATGGCACTCTACCCTCCAGGATACAACAACCTATGATCCTTGTAAGCATACCCTCGCAATACTTAAATCGAGTGAACAGCTCAATTCTTTTCTTTGGTATAGAAGTGAACAATGAAGTAGAAGGATTGAAGACGTGGAGAAGTGAAGAAGACTTCACTGGAACTACCTTTCTCGTTTTGATTTATGCATAGTAATTTATAACGCTAGTCACATAGAAAAACGTTTGGCCAAATAATGGGAATCAAGTAGCATTATTCCATAGTCAAATAATAACATTATACACCCCCTTTAATGCATCAGTTTTGGTTTTACAAATAAAATTGAAATTAGGACTTAAAAACAAATTGAATAATATTAAAGTTACTAATGAAGAGTTGTATTTTGAAATACCCAATTAAAATTCCAACACTCTGTTCTCATGTTAGGCGACGAAAATCCTGCAACTTGTTATATGTCATAGCACTTACTGCAGTTGCATATGCTCTTGCATCCATGGATGGGACGTAAACTTGGCCTCGTACTAACTGGCTCTTGGTTTTCCTCGGTATCGGAGTAAACTGCATATATACAAGCTAATTTTGCAGCATAGTAATGCCAAAACATCAACCATATTAATTCCCTCCAACCCCTTTCTTCATATGTTTCTCTCAGCCCTTCTGTGAGCTGAACGGTATATTCCTCACCTTCAAGTTAGCCGAGATGTATTTTCCTCGGTTTCTACTTCCAGGACATTTTCAATTTGGATCAATGTTATCGAATATCGAATTTTTCCGGAGATTATTTGTCTCCAATTTTTTTTTCAAGAAAATATAGGTTCCAGCTTGAGAATTATTTGTAGAACTTCGTATTTTAGTCTGCATGTCAAGACAATAAGTGATAGAATTTGTTTGTTTTGTGTTTTTGATTGAGTGTTTGAATCGGTTTCTTGGGAGAATTGAAAAACAAGAAAAGGAAAAAATTGGAGATTGATTTCTGCTGTGTAATAATGCAGCAGACTTGATTGAATAAGTAGAGTGAACATTACACAAGAGTATGGTGCATTTCCATCACCCATACTTATCTAAAAAGGTGATTGACAAGAGGCTTTAACAACCATTAAGCCTTACTACTCCAGATTACATCCTAACCCTTCATTTGGGGTTAAGTGATTTAATCTGGAGTGTACACTTGTCACTCACACACTTACACAAACATTTAAAAAACAAAACTAGCCGTTGGAGACTAGAGCCCTTCATTTTCTTTCTTCTTCTTCGATGCAGATGACATCCTTTTGCTCGGGAGTATCTTGCTGCCTTCGACTCCCCGACTCCAGGAGCTGGTTAGCTTCCAAACACTCCCTTCTAAACTGCTTCTGGGAGTCAATCCGAGCAAACCCCTCAGGTAATTGAATCTCTCCTTCGGTAGTGCTTTTGTGAATATGTCTGCGATCTGATCTTCTGTGCTGCAATAGATTAGCTTGATTGTGTTGTCCTGCAATGTTTCTCTGATGAAATGATATCTTCTCTTGATGTGTTTTGTTCTCTGATGAAATACTGGGTTTTTAGTCATGGCAATTGCAGAGGTGTTGTCACACAGAAGTGGTGTGGCTTCAACTTGCAATTCGCCAAAATCTTTAAGTATGAACCTTAGCCAAATAGCTTGAGCTGTAGCTTCTGATGCACTCACATACTCTGCCTCGGCTGTGGACAGTGCAACACTTTGTTGCTTCACAGAGGCCCATGAAAATACCCCTGATCCGAAAGTGAAAGCATAGCCCGATGTGCTTCTACTATCATCCTCACTGCCACCCCAGTCACTGTCACAGAATCCAATTAGAATAGATGACTTTCCCATCTCATATTTGATACCATAATCAAGAGTTCCTTGTACATATCTTAGCACTCTCTTAGCTGTGCCCATATGTATCTTGCTAGGATTCTGCATAAACCTAGAAAGTAGGCTTGCTGAGAACATCAGATCCGGCCTTGTTGCAGTTAGATACAATAGACTGCCAACAATGCTTTTATAGAGACTAGCATCTGCAGGTTCACTTCCATCCTCCTTCTTGAGCTTCTCATTTGCAATTAAGGGTGTAGAAACTGGTTTGCAGCCCTTCAAACCCAAACTTCTCAAGCAAAGTTTCAGCATACTTCTTTTGATGAATAAAGATGCTACTTGTTTTTTGAATTACCCCAATGCCAAGAAAATGATGCAAGAGGCCTAGGTCAGTCATCTCATACCTCTTCATCATTTCTTCCTTGAACTCTTCCATCATTGCAGCATCATTTCCAGTGTAGACAACATCATCTACATAGATTGAGACAATGAGTGTCTTGTTGTTGCTTTCTGTCTTGGTGTAGAGTGTAGCTTCACTAGGACTTTTCTGAAATCCTTTCTCAATGAAATAGGAATCAATCTCACTGTACCAAGCTCTTGGAGCTTGTTTTAGGCCATAAAGAGCCTTCCTTAACTTGTACACTTTTTCTGGAAACTCTTGACTTGTGAACCCTTGAGGTTGTTCCACAAAACACCTCCTCCTCTAGCACTCCATTTAGAAATGCAGATTTAACATCCAATTGATGCAGCTTCCAACCCTTCTTGGCTGCTAGTGCTATCACAAAGTCCTTATGGTGTCTAACCTTGCTACTGGAGCAAAGGTTTCATTGAAGTCTACACCAGGTTTCTGTGAGTAACCTTTGGCCACTAACCTGGCCTTGTTCTTTTGCACAGAACCATCTAGATTTAGCTTCACTTTGTACACCCATTTTACTCCAATCACAGGCTTCTCACTTGGTCGATTTACAAGTTCCCAAGTGTCATTCTTTTCTATCATTTCAAGCTCTTCCTTCATTGCTTTCTTCCAAGCTTTATCTTTCTCAGCTTCTTCATACGTTTCTGGTTCTACTACACAGTAATTACATGTAGCATAAAATCTCATCCAGATTTCTCAATCTTACTGGAGTTGAACTAGGAGTTGTTGTCTGTGATTGACTTGATTGTGGACTCATAGTAGCTTGCTGTGGAGTCCCTTGTATGTCACCATTATCTGTGACTTCTTCTTGAACTGAGGTCTCTATAGGCTCCCTTGTTTGCCTTTTGTTTAGGTCAATTTGTAGAGAGACACTGTCCTTTTTCCTCTACCATTGTATCCCAGTTCCACATTGAGTCTTCATCAAAGATAACATCCCTTGATAGGATTATCTTTTGAGTCAACACATTATAAACTCTGTATCCTTTCTCACTAGTACCATAGCCTACAAAAACACCCTTGTTACTTGATTTCTCCAACTTGTGCCTTAGTTGATGAGGGATGAGATTGTAGCACACTGAGCCAAACACTCTCAGATGCTTCACAGAAGGCTTCCTTCCACTGAACACTTCAAATGGAGTCTTCTTCTCCAATGCCTTAGTAGGACACCTATTCAATAGATACACTGAGGTGTTCACAGCTTCACCCCAAAATTTATAAGGCATGTTCTTCTCATGCATCATAGACTTAGCCATTTCGACTATAGTCCTATTCTTCCTTTCTGCAATCCCATTCTGTTGTGGTGAATATGCCACAGTGAGTTGCTTCTCCAACCCTACATCTTCACAGAATACATTGAACTCATGTGAGGTGTACTCACCTCCCCTATCACTTCTTAGTCTTTTGATTTGGTATCCACTTTGTAATTCCACCAATGCCTTAAACTTCTTGAATATTGTGAATACCTCAGACTTGAACCTCATGAAATACACCCAACACATCCGTGAATAATCATCAATGAAGGTTAGGAAATACATGTTTCCACTGATTGTTGTTGTTCTCATTGGTCCACACACATCTGAGTGAATCAATTCGAGTGGCTTTGTTGCCCTCCAAGCCTTTCCAGCTTCAAATGAATCTCTGTGATGCTTGCCAAACACACACCCTTCACAGATTTCATTGCATTGATCCATTTTTGGTATACCTTGCACCATTTCATCCTTTTGCAGATTTTGTAAGCTTGTCATGTTTAAATGACCAAGTCTCTTGTGCCATAG